GTTGAGGGAGTATCAGAGAAACTGAGACGTTTATTTTCTAAACATAACGTCCCAGTGGCTTTTAAACCCCAAAATACATTACGGCAAAGACTGGTTCATCCCAAAGATCCAGTCCCCCGGCACAAACAGAGTAATGTTGTGTATGCTGTTCAGTGTCAGGAGGGTGATCAGTCTTACATCAGGGAAACAAAACAGCCACTGGCCAAAAGGATGGCCCAGCACAGAAGATCAACATCATCAGGCCAGGACTCTGCGGTCTACACTCATCTCCAGGCCAGCGGTCACTCTTTCAGGGATGAAGATGTTCACATCCTGAATAGAGAGGAACCATGGTTTGAGAGAGGAGTAAAGGAGGCCATCTTTGTGAAAAGAAACCGTCCATCATTAAACAGGGGTGGAGGCCTCCGGGTTCAACTGTCCCCCTCTTACAATGCTGTGATTGCTAGTATCACTCAGCCCTCTGTGAGTAGTAAACAGCCATCAGTGTGCTAATGATCCATTGTTAGGCTGATGGTCCTTCTTGAGCATGTGAGCAGCTGGTTTTGGTTGTCAGCAGCAAAACTGGTTGATCCACTCTGAGAAGGTGCTATTTAAGAGACTGAGCTGAATACAGCACCTCAGACTGAGGAAGTCTTTCGGATGAGAGACGAAACGTTTCTAGATTTTTTTGTTGTTTTGCTTTGTTTTTTTGAATGTCCAGAGGACCAGATTTAACTTTTTTAGAATGAACACTAATGTTTCTGTCTGCACATGTTTAGAATTTAATTGTTGGTATTTTTATATTCTCTGTTATTTTTATATCTTGTGATTCCTTGTGTATGTTCCTTTGTACTGAAACTCTGGCACAACAATTTCCTGCGGGATCAGTAAAATTCTATCTTATCTTAATTAAAAAAAAAAACACATTGAAAATTTTGTATAAAATAAATATTAGATTAAAATTTTAAATGCAGCATTTCAGATGTGCTGAATTCTTAGGCCTTCTCTGAAGGCTTTGAAGGCCCAGAGGGTTTCTTACTGGAAAGAATGCATCTACTTTGCCAACAAGCACTCATGGGATTAATATACAAGTTGTTTTAAATGTTTCACACTACTGAACATTTTTTTTTTTTTAACTATAGTGGAATAGATTCCAATTGTTTAAAAAGGACTTTTAACATTTTTCAGATAGCTGAAGAGCAGCAGTTGCTTCTCTAAGGTTGATGCTGATGTCTTTCCTTCTTGGCGATGAGTTAACACACACCTAACGGCTGCAGAGCAGAAAATTGTCAACGTTCCTTCTTTATGGAGATGCTCACATGGATGGTGACGTGTTCTTCATCAGCACCATCTGCCTGCTTCTCTCCAAATCTTATGAAAGTAGCAAAGATGGACGTAGTTGTTCATGCACAGCTTTTCTATTTTGTTTTGTTGGATAAAAAATAACATGGTGTAATCTGTTGTGAGTTTCTGTACACTTAAGGTTAGATTTGAATAATGTTAGGACTGTATGTATAACTTTTTATTATTCTGATGTGTAAAATCCTAAAACTGACGGACAGTGGACAGTTTTTCTTCCTCCCCAGGACTGCTTGTCTTAATATCACAGAAAATAAACTTACCAAACTCAAAAGCAAAAGATGGGGTGCTGACTGACAGAGGTGTGGGTCCAGGCTGAGCAGGAGGAGGTGGGGGGGCAGTTTTGGCTGAAATGATAGTCACACAGTGAAGCCCCTTTTTCTCACCATTAATAAAATGTGGTCATTAGTCGTACTTACGCCTTTGTTTATGTCGAAAAAGTTTCAGGCTCTAGAGAGGGGAGGAAGAATTGAACTTTGTGCTTTAAAACGATCATCAGTTCATGAAGACGGGTGATTTTCGGTTACCTTTGCTCGAGACATGCCCTTCTCGTTGCTTTGGTCGACCTTGTTTCCTGATCTGTCAGTGTTCAGAGAGGGTCTGCGGTTCACATCGTGTTGTTGCACTTGTTGTGCTAATGATCACAGAAACAGAAAGAAGACAAATCACTTCCTGCATTTGAAATCCTGCCCTGATACTGATGCAGAAAAACATTCACCTTAATCTGAAACCTTAAGAAACAACCACAGTTTTGTAGCAGAACCTTGTTTTGTTTATCTGAGAATGTTTTAACAGGATCACCAAGAGGATTAATAAAAGGAGGACTTGTGAGAAAGGCTAGTGTCGAGTGCAGTAAACAGACTCACCACTTCCTCCTTGAGCTGCGACCACAGGAAGCGGAGTGAGCGTCTGAAATGAAGTGAGGGGTTCTGCAGAAAGGAACAGTACACCCACTGAGAACACAAACATTTAAAAATAATGATGAACGAAGAAGAGCAGTGGTGTTTAATTACTGCTTTAACTGCCTCCTCGTGGGAGTTCTCACTCTGTTGCAACAACAAACTACAAAATGATGTTTCACCGCCGATATGGGATAAATATGATGACTATGTGGAAAAACTGCTGGACTGTAAGAAAAAACTAAATTAAGGACTGACCTAACCTAACTCATCGAAATGATCCTACTAACAAGCTCGACTATCGTAACCAGGAGGCGTGCACATTTTCAAGGGCAAAGAAAAGTGCATCAACAAAGCAATGGTTTGAATCGACTGACTTAAATCTGCAACATTTATTCCTTCACTGAGTTTGATGGTCTTAAAACCAAAAAACAATGATACAAAAGATAAAATAAGTTGAAATGCTTCATGACATATTATGAAAATTGGAGTTAATGATGCCGTGACCAAGATATGAAGGTGAAGGCATGATCCAAATAAAGTGTTGTCAAAGAAACGGTTTCCTTTTCTAAAAATATTCACAGTGTGATTAACAACCCAACCTACAATAAGTCACCAACTGTTATTTTCAGTCAGAAGAATCTACACTGAAGCCGTTATTTCATAAAGAACGTGCACAGGGAACATATCTCCAACAAAGTTCTGTCTGTCCAAGACTTGTCAGCTACAGGTGCTTTTATCTCCGGGACAGTTCAGGAGTTTGTTCTCCTGGGTTTGTTACGACTGCAGGAATCCTGAAGTATTATTATTTTTTCCTCAATCGTATTCCAGCAGCTGAAAACAAAATGGACTGTACTTATATAGCACCTTTCTATCTTGTTTCAAGATACTCAAAGCTCTTTTCACTACAATCTGTGTCCTCATTTATTCATTCATACAGCACTCTACTAGATCTCTACAAAGCTAATTGAACAAATCATTCTAAAGAGACTAATCAGAGCTTTAGATCACATTCATACACTGATGGGACACACATCAGAGGCTATGAGGGATTCAGTGTCTTGCCCAGGGACACTTTGACATGTGACTGCTGGTGGATTCAAACCCCCAACTCTCGCATTGGAGGACGACTGCTCTAACCACTCAGCCACAGCCGCCCCTGAACAACTGAACATTTTGTGTCGATCTGCTGGACTGTGTCCTTCAAAATGGTGGGCAAACTGAGCGTCTTCTCAGTTATTTATAATGCTGATGACAGAAAGCTAGAAGAAGTGCTCACCTTGTTTTGAACCTTTAGCTCGAACACTCTGAGGAAGACATCGAGGTGAAAATAAGTTGCCATCTTGAGAAATAGGATCTTGGACTTGTGATGATCACATATAATGAACCCCGTGGAGTTTACAGAAAACCCTCAGCATCAGTTTTATTGGTTTGATTATTACCTTGCTCCGTTTCTTGACAACATCAAGGAACTTCCTGGGCTGAGTGGTGCCGTCCCACTCAGAGGACATGCCGACTCGTGGTGACAGCGTCCATCCTATAGAAGATGGACGTGGAGGACTTCTTGAATGAACTAAAGAATCAGCACAGAACAGCACTTAATAGACAATATACGTAATAATATATATATACTTATAGCTGGACCTTTGTGTTTTCCTTGTACAGAATGACATGCTTACTGTTTTCTGTTGGGAGGGTGACTGGTCCTGGTGTTCCGTCTGAAGTGGACAGTGCAGGATGATCCACAGCTACAGAAATATAATGACATTTATTATTTTTAATTAGGACATAGTTTATAGTGTGTCTTTCAGTGAAAAGAAAAAACTTTCAGTATAAGGAAAAAAAATCAGATTTTTTTTTTTATTTAACAAGTCCTAAGATGAGGCAACTAGAAACTCAGGAGAACAATTTATGGCACACTTGTATAAATTCTGATTTAGCATTTACACTGAAGTGATCCTCTATTTTTTGTTTATTTGACTCTACCTACACATTTGATTGTAATCAGTTAAAAAAAAAAAAAGGTGTTTAACTTTCATAGCTTTCAACACATTCTAAAGATACAACAAGGTTGAGTCAGGTCCTCTGGATGGGTTCTTTTTTGTTGAAATGTTTCTTCGTTTATCCAAAACACTTCTTCAGTCTGAGGAGCTGCAACAAAGTCAGGCGTATAAGCAGCACCTTCTCATTAGAGCTACCATTTCTAACTCGAGCCTTAAGCCCAGCCCGACCCAACCTGAATTTGGGGTTAGTTGGGTCTGTGTCGGGCATTTGATTGCGTCAGCCACGATCCAATTATATGGCAACATGGCATGCCATACAATCACCAACCATACGTGGCCATTTTACCTCGAGCTGACCAACCTTGAAAGAGGTAAAAAGTTCAGTTAAGCTTCAGATGGGACTGTACTGCCAGGAAGTGATGCATCGCTCAAATGGACATTCTGCCGCTGCACTCTGCAGACGTGTGCGGCCGACGACCCAAACAGGTGAGATCCCAAAGCAGCCATGTCAGAGCAGGGTTCGTGTCTGAATAAATCAGAATGCAGGCAGAAGCAGGGATTTAATGCTCTTTGACAGCAATGAAAAGACAAACACCCCATCAACGCAGATCTTCTATCTCTTTTATTCAGCCGTGCGTCCGCTGATCATTAATAATTATATAAGCTGTCAAAACTTAGTTAAAAATGTCGTGGGGTTTTCGGGTTCAGACTTGTAATTACTGTTAATTCGTCAGGTTGTGTGCCATTTGGAAAGGATGTCTACGAGCTGGGGCCAGATCGGATCTAATTTTTTGGGCCCGAATGCAACTTTACTTCTCATAGTGGATCAACCAGTTTGTTGTTCACATCCAGAACTAGCTGCTCACTTGATGAAGGAGGACCATCAGGGACTTAATGACCCATCGTTAGTGTCCCGATGGCTGTTTGCTATTCACAGGGGGCTGAGTGATACTAGCAATCACAGCATTGTAAGAGAGGGACAGTTGAACACGGAGGCCTCCACCACTGTTTAATGATGGACGGTTTCTTTTCACAAAGATGGCCTCCTTTACTCCTCTCTCAAACCATCTTTCTTCTCTATCCAGGATGTGCACATCTTCATCCCTGAAAGAGTGACCGCTGGCCTGGAGATGAGTGTAGACTGCAGAGTCCTGGCCTGATGATGTTGATCTTCTGTGCTGGACCATCCTTTTGGCCAGTGGCTGTTTAGTTTCCCCGATGTAAGACTGATCACCCTCCTGAACAACTCCTGCAACATATGAAATAACCACTGGTCTGGTTCTGGGTTCCTCCTTTTCACCTGATGGCTGACTGGAGTCCTGTTTGGGTTTCTTCTCTGCTTTCAGGAAGGCCCAGTTAGGATATCCACATTCATCCACACTCTTATTATGTGAATAATTAGTTCTGGTTGGCACCAGCAAACTGGATGAAAATGGACCCTTCCATGAAGCTAAACAGTCATGTAAACATGATTGTTAAATTTTTTTATTTTTTTTTAGAAGCGACCGTCTAAATTGAAGTCCAAAACTAACCTGGAGACAATAATGCATGACTGTATAACATCCAGGCTTGATTACAGCAATGCACTCCTTTTTGGAATCAGTCAGATTGTCTCCATTGCACGATTACAACTGGTTCAAAATGCTGGGCCTGATTTTTAACTGGTACATGCAAAAGAGAGCACATTACCCAGTTCTGGCTTCCCTTCACTGGCTCCTGATTCACTTTCGAATTCGGTTCAAAATTATTCTGTATGTTATTAAGTCTCTGAACAGTTTGGCCCCCTCCTATCTCACTGATCTGCTGCAGCCATATGTCCCACAGCGCTCTCTGAGGTCAGCAGACCAGATACTTTTATTGGTTCCAGGCACTCGTTTTAAGCTCAGAGGTGACAGAACCTTCTCTGTTGTAGGAATGAGTTACCACTACATGTCAGGCAGGCTCCCTCTCTCACTGTTTTTAAGTCTTGTTTAAAAACACACCTTTATTCCCTGGCTTTTGACAATGTGTGAGTTGATTTTAACTTGTCCGTATTCTATAATGTTAGTCATTTAGTTATTTTCTTTACCCATTTGGATCTATGTATTTTATCTTGTGTCCTTTGCTTGTTTTGTTGTTGCTGTACAGCACTTTAGTTGGCCTTGTTGCTGTTTTTAAGTGCTTTTTAAATAAAGTGGTATGGTATGGTTGATCCACTATAAAGGAGGTGCTGTTTATAAGACTGAGTTTGTTGCAGCTCCTCAGACTGAAGAAGTCTTTTGGATAAAAGACGAAACGTTTCAACAAAAAGGAACATGTCCAGAGGACCTGACTCAACCTTGTTAGATTTATCTACTTGGATTATTGAACATGCCTCCAGACATCTATCTAAGGTGTATCTTTATTTTAACAAGAGATTTTGTACTGAAACCATCTGACACATAAACTGGTCCAGTTCCAGTTTTTTAATTCCTTCAATCTTTAAACTACACATACATAGAACAGGTATATTTATTTTGTTTTACTTATTATTACTTTGAGTTCTGCAGCCTCACGGTGATCAGACTCCAACCCTCAATAATTCAACAATATAAAACCACCATCTCATATAACCAGTAAGCCTGTGATGTAATTTGTGTCTGTGCTTACATTTTGGATTAAAGGAAAACTTGTAAGGCTGAGCTTTGATTTTTTTGTAGACATAAGTGTTTCAGTGACAGCCAGCCCACAGTGTCTTAAAGGAATAAATCAAGATTTCTCAGTTGTGAACACATCAAGTATTCACTTAATTCAACTAAAGCATCAATGAATGATCCTTTTATCAGTTTTGCTACAATTTCAACTCTTCAGTTGATTCAATACTTCATGTTTTGACCACTTTGCTCAGCCGTCGGCATACAAATGTATGTTGCATATTATGTTCATACTGTATATTCAAAGAACAGTCATCTTGTAGACTGTCAGTCTCGATGCAGAAGAAGTTGTGTGTGAAAAGCTGAACTCCCTAATGATGTATTAATTGTAGAACCAACCTCCTTAGAAGTAACTCAAAGTGGTTTTATGCATTACTTTATTTTTTCTCTTATAAGGCTGTGGTCCATTTTTATTTATAACGGTGTTTCAGCACATTGAGGTTTGTGGGCATTTGATTATTTTCAGAGATCTGCATGTCTTGCCACAACCTTTCAACCTGCTCACAAATTGGGTTCTGGCTCTTTTTTTAAGTTATTTGTCTTTGTTCATGAGAAAACATGGGTCAGGTCAGAGCGCTCAGTTGACTGCTCATTTAACCCTGAAAAACTTGATTTGTACGGTACAGAGTTGATGGTTAACTCAAAGGCATTCAGGTTCTGTTTCTGCAGAACAAACGCAAACCTTCATTCAGCTCCACTTTACATGGCCATAGATGGATGTGTCGTTTCCTGCCTGAATCACCTCAGTACCAACACTAAAGTTAGACGAGCTCATCTTCCAGACGAGTGAACTTACTTTGAGGAAGTTGTGGAGGGTTGTGTTGGTCCAGAGCGGCACTGAATGTTTGAACAGTTGAAGATGGAGCTGATGCTGGGTCTGTTTGCACTGATGGTGCTGGAGAGATGAGGAAATACAGTACTGGTTAAAAAAACATCCAAGATGATCTCATAATTTATGGCGTTTGTTATAAACATAATAGTAATGGGCAACTGTGAGATTAATAAAAGTTCAAATGTGTAATCATCTTTTGTTTGTCACCCCCCCCCCCCCCCCCCAAAAAAAAAAAAAACCCCAACAAAAAACAATAATTAAAGCATTCTTTAGCTTTGTTATCAACCAACTTTTCTGCAATATCTTACCTGACGAAATCATCTCTGCTCTCACAGTCTGCAGGAAAAGCAAATAGTATTCCTCTTTAGAAACAATATATTTGTGTATTTAACATTAGCCAATAAAGTTTAAATTTACCCCAAGAAGGGCTTGGATCATTTGTTAAACACAAAGACTTCATGTTAGCTCTCGAACAAATGAAGAAACTACAGCTCATCTTTGTGAATCAGCATTTCTACATATGACGTCATTTTATTCCATCGTCTGTTGAATTCCAAACACAAGCAACACCTGATGAGGTGATCACCTGAAAACATCTGGAATGTCAGATAAATGGTCACAAGCCATTAAACAGCTGAACTGATTGAACTTCTGCTTCAGGAGTGGCAAAACGTCACTTAAGATTCATGAGGAAGACCAACCGAGAGTCTCCAAGACTAGTGGTGGGATTAAAAAGTCATGGTTATTGCATCAAATGTTACTTTCTGATCTCTTCCTAAGGTAATTAATAAAAAATAAAATAAAATTAAATTAAATATTATGGAATATAATAATTAAAATTAATATAACCTTGTTTCTATAATAAACTTTAGACCTGCAACACTGGACATTTTCCTGTTTTTCTGACCATTTGTCATGTTACGAAGATAAATGTTATTTGAAATTTGTAAGAATAGATGTCAGTAGGTTATAAAGTAAAAGAAATATTCATATTCCTCAAACACATGGGTCTACATACAAATAGTAAAATATGATCAAATCAGAAAAACAGCTCTTTCTGCAGAGGTCTCCTAATTTGTTCCAGAGACGTATACGTTTCCCTAATCGTCCCTGACTCGCAGGACATTGAGTGCCCGACAGTGAGAAGACTTACTTGGTTTCTCACAAAACCTTTTTCTTTCTGAAATGTGACTTCTGGCGTTGAGCTTCCAGACCATTCTGAAAATATTCCTATTCCGTTAAAGGGCACCTCCGTTAGGATCTCTCGCTGCTTCTCTACAGGAACTGCAAACCAACAATACTCTACTTAAAATTAAACATTTAAACAAAATAGCACCAATTTCCATTTTTGTGTTTAATATTTAGAAAATTACCAGGTTCCACGGCTAACTCAAATGATTCCGGGGTCCTCTCTGGAAGTGGGGGGGTATGCGAGTTGAAGCTTCCTAGCAGCATGGTAGTAGTGGATCAGATTTGTTAATCCAAGCCAAAGATTTACTCCACTTTTAAAGGAAACAGGACACCTGATGCCCTGAAGCAAAATGTTCTTACCTTCCTGTTCCTCGCCATCGTCAGCTGCAGTGCTGGGTGGTGAGATAACGGATAGCTGATCACACAGACCTGAGAGCTCTGGTGGACAAGATCAAAATCTGTTTTACCACAGTTCACCAGTATACACACTTCACATGAGCTTTCTTTGATCAGAGGATTTTTAGGGCTCTGACCTGGATCCACAGCCAGGACGAAGGATTCAGGGGTCCGTTCAGGTAGAGGAGGAGGAACTTCATCATCAGTTAGAACTTCAGAAAGTACAAGCAAAACACACACAACCTTAAAAATCAGCCTCTGGCGCTGTTTACTGTGAGGCTGCTCAAACAGTCTCGTTTACCTGAGGCGGGAGAACTTGGCCTCATAATCTGATCATCCAGAAACAGTGAGGGTGCACTGAAGACAGGGCTGTGGATCCATTTGACCTCTTCTGTTGGTGCCTCCTCTGATGATGGGGAGCTTAAAACTTCCTCAAAATAAGGGTCTTCCACCATCTGACAAAAAGCCTCTGGTGCAGGCAGCAGAGAAACAGTGTCCAGTAATGGGAAGTCACTGCTGTCCTCTGCAGATGCTGTTTGGATGCTCTGAAGCAGTAAGTTATTGGGCTTCTCATTCAGGTTCTTGCTGGCATCAGAAAGGGTCTGGAATGGCTGATACTGTTGCTGTCCACATAGCATGTCCACAGCATCAAAGTCTTCTAGATTTCCCAAAGCAGAAGCCAAGGGAGCGTGGTAATGTAGGAAAACATCACTTTTCTCATCGAGCAAGTGCAGGTGTTCTGTCGTGAAATGAAACTCCTCACTATGGTCAGAGAAGTCATCTTCAGTCATCTCAGCGACAGCAGATGGAACCGCAGATCCCTGACCAGATCAAAACGCAGCGAGTTAAAACAAGATTTAATAATAAAAAATTAAAAAAAACTGCCTAAAACATCTCACAAGCTGATAATCAGCCAATCAGATGTACTGAGTTAGCAGCACCAGGCTAGCACGTATCATTCTAATTCAGGGCTGGGCCACATCGCTTCTCTACAGGTCCAAGTCAAGATGTTTAAATCAATGGAAGGGCCACATGGAGAATTGGAATATAACTTTTCTTTAAGACCGATAATCTGAATAACTTTTTTTAGGCATTTTCTTATTGTATCATAGTTGGCATGCTTGATTAAAAAAAAGTATGTCACCCCCCACCCCCCCATTCAAAAATGTGTTGTACAAAAATTGGACTTTATTTTTAACATAAGACGTTTCCCTCCTCATCCGAGGAGCTTTCTCAATTCAAAGAGCAGTGAGTGAGGGGTTCAGGTTATAATCTGAGTGAGATAAAATACACATACATATGTAGATTGACAAATCACACCTCACACCTTAACAGTAGGGGTTTCTTAAGGTCTTTGTTGCTCTAATTCACAGATGAGACCCCTCTGTTCCCATCAGCTGTGAAAATTGAATTAGAGTAACAAAGACCTTAAGAAACCCCTACTGTTAAGGTGTGAGGTGTGACTTGTCAATCTGCATGTGTGTATCTTACACACAGTCTTGTAACCTGAACCCCTCACTCACTGCTCTTGGAACTGAGAAAGCTCCTTGGATGAGGAGCAAAACGTCTGTTAAAAATAAAGTCCAGTTGTTTTTGTATTGAACATTTTTGAATTTATAATGTCCTGGATGACTGAGAAACTTCACCAACATATGCCCCCCCCCCCCCACACACACACACACACACTCTTTAGGAAATTATCTCTTATGACAACACATTTGTTAGCTTAAATATGCAATAAATAAATAAAATAAATAACATTTGCTCTTTTGAGTCTTTAAGATTCAGTCTAGTTCTGGAAACACAACTTAAAAAATGTTCAGCATTTCTTATTCCAAAGGTTTTTGACGAGTTTGTCTAAGATGTTTCATTTAAACTTCCTTAAGATTCATAGACTGAATGCAGGTTTTCATCAACTTTTTAAAAAGTGGTTTTCTTTTCAGGGTGGCACAATGGTGCAGTTCGTAGAGCTTCCACCTCTCAGTGAGAAGGTCACGGGATCAAATCCCTGCCAGGGGTTCATTCTGTGTGAGTTTGCATGTTCTCTCCTTGCTGTGTGGGTTTTCTCCAGGTACGCCAGTTTCCTCCCACAGACCAAAAACATGCATGTTAGACTGATTAATAACTAAATTATTTATAGGTGTGAGTGAGAGAGTGAATGGTTGGTTGTCTCGTTTGTCTCCATGTGTCCCTGTGATGTACTGGAGACCTGTCCAGGGTGTCCCCCGCCTCTCACACAGAGGACATTGTCACCAGTGTCCCTGGTGAGCCAAAAAGGAAGAAGAGGATAAAGATGATGGATGGTTTTCTTTTCAATTTAGGATATAGGGGGTCAAATGTAGATCGTCTAAGGATTTGATCTGATCTTCTGTACAGGTCCTTCTCAAAAAATTAGCATATTGTGATAAAGGTCATTATTTTTCATAATGTAATGATAAAAATGAAACTTTCATATATTTCAGATTCATTGCACACCAACTGAAATATTTCAGGTCTTTAATTGTTTTAATACTGATGATTATGGCATACAGCTCATGAAAACCCAAAATGCCTGTCCCAAGAAATTAGCATATCATGAAAAGGTTCTCTAAACAAGCTATTAACCTAACCATCTGAATCAACGACGTAACTCTAAACACCTGCAAAAGATTCCTGAGGCTTTTAAAAACTCCCAGCCTTGTTCATTACTCAAAACCGCAATCATGGGTAAGACTGCCGACCTGACTGCTGTCCAGAAGGCCATCATTGACACCCTCAAGCAAGAGGGTAAGACACAGAAAGAAATTGCTGAACGAATAGGCTGTTCCCAGAGTGCTGTATCAAGGCACCTCAGTGGGAAGTCTGCGGGAAGGGAAAAGTGTGGCAGAAAACGCTGCACAACAAGAAGAGGTGACCGGACCCTGAGGAGGATTGTGGAGAAGGGCCGATTCCAGACCTTGGGGGACCAGCGGAAGCAGTGGACTGAGTCTGGAGTAGAAACATCCAGAGCCACCATGCACAGGCGTGTGCAGGAAATGGGCTACAGGTGCCGCATTCCCCAGGTCAAGCCACTTTTGAACCAGAAACAGCGGCAGAAGCGCCTGACCTGGGCTACAGAGAAGCAGCACTGGACTGTTGCTCAGTGGTCCAAAGTACTTTTTTCGGATGAAAGCAAATTTTGCATGTCATTCGGAAATCAAGGTGCCAGAGTCTGGAGGAAGACTGGGGAGAAGGAAATGCCAAAATGCCAGAAGTCCAGTGTGAAGCACCCACAGTCAGTGATGGTCTGGGGTGCCATGTCAGCTGCTGGTGTTGGTCCACTGTGTTTTATCAAGGGCAGGGTCAATGCAGCTAGCTATCAGGAGATTTTGGAGCACTTCATGCTTCCATCTGCTGAAAAGCTTTATGGAGATGAAGATTTCATTTTTCAGCACGACCTGGCACCTGCTCACAGTGCCAAAACCACTGGTAAATGGTTTACTGACCATGGTATTACTGTGCTCAATTGGCCTGCCAACTCTCCTGACCTGAACCCCATAGAGAACCTGTGGGATATTGTGAAGAGAAAGTTGAGAGATGCAAGACCCAACACTCTGGATGAGCTTAAGGCCGCTATCGAAGCATCCTGGGCCTCCATAACACCTCAGCAGTGCCACAGGCTGATTGCCTCCATGCCACGCCGCATTGAAGCAGTCATTCATGCAAAAGGATTCCCGACCAAGTATTGAGTGCATAACTGAACATGATTATTTTAAGGTTGGTGTTTTTTGTATTAAAAACACTTGTCATTCATTGATGGGATGAAATATGCTATTTTTTTGGGACAGGCATTTTGGGTTTTCATGAGCTGTATGCCATAATCATCAGTATTAAAACAATTAAAGACCTGAAATATTTCAGTTGGTGTGCAATGAATCTGAAATATATGAAAGTTTCATTTTTATCATTACATTATGGAAAATAATGACCTTTATCACAATATGCTAATTTTTTTAGAAGGACCTGTATATGCTAAGGAGCTTTAATGCAAGCAAAATTACTTTGCAGTTTGTGTACAAGTCACTGGTTGAAAGTGTTGTTTCCTTTAATATTGTCTCATGGTATGGGAACTGGGCAGTACAACTGGGTGGCGCAACTGGTAGAGCTGCTGCCTCTCAGCGAGCAGGTCCCTGGTTCAAATCCCGGTCCGGGAGCCTTTCTGGGTGGAGTTTGCATGTTCTCTCCGTGCATGCGTGGGTTTCCTCCGGGTACTCCGGTTTCCTCCCACAGACCAAAAACATGCATGTTAGGCTGATTGGTAACTCTAAATTGTCCCTAGGTGAGAGTGAGAGAGTGAATGGTTGTTTGTCTTGTTTGTCTCTGTGTGGCCATGTGATGGACTTGCGACTTGTCCAGGGTGTACCCCGCCCCTCCCCTCGCACTGTGATTGCTGGACATGGGCACCGGCGACCCCTGTGACCCAAAATGGACGAAGCGGGTAAAAGACAATGGATGGATGGATGGATGAATGTTGCATGATAGTACATTGTGGTTTGTTATGTCCGATACATGAAATATTTTATATTTTTATTTTTACACAACAGTCTTGCCATAAATGACTGTATCTTTACAGATCCATCCATTATCATTACTCATTTCTTCTTTCTGGGTCAAGGGGAACTGGTGTCAATCTTTAGCTGTCACTGTGCAAAGGTGGGGGATAACCTGGACAGTTGCATGTCCATCACAGGGACACAGAGATGATCAGGAAAAAACATACACACACCTATAAAAGAAATTGGAGTTATCAATGAACCTATCATACGTGTTTTTAGTCTTTGGGAGGAAAACGGTTAATCCGGAGAAAACTCACACATACTGTACTTGGAGAGAACATGCAAACTCTAGAAGGGTCAGACAGCGATTCTGCAACCTTCTCACCGAGAGCCGTCAGCTCTAACCACCTTGCAGCCCAAATAAGACAAATTGTTGAAAAAAATCATTCATCCATCTTTTCATCCTTTATCATCCACTTGTTCCAAAGTCGGGTCGCAGGAGCAGCAGCTTGAGCAGGGAGGCCCAGACATCTCTTTCCACAGCCACCTCTTCCAGCTCTTTTGGGAGGATTCCAAGGTGTTCCCAAGGCAAACAAGAGACAGTCTCTTCAGCATGTCCTGAGTCTTCCCTGGAGTCTCCTCCCAGTCTGACATGCCCAAAGCACCTTCATAGGGAGGCACCCAGGGAGCATTCTTACCATATGCCTGAACCACCTCAACTAACTCCTCTCGATGTGGAGGAGCAGCGGTTCTACTCTGAGTCTCTCCCTGATAACTGAACTTCTCACCCTGTCTCTAAGGGAGAGTCCAGCTACCCTGCAGAGGAAACTCATTTCAACCACCTGTATCCACGATCTCATTCTGGGTCACTACCATAGTTGAGGGTAGGAATGTAGACTGACTGCTAAACAGAGAGCTTTGTCTTACAGCTTAGCTTCCTCTTCACCACAACGGACCGGCACAGACTATGCAATACTGCAGATGCTGCACAAATCCATCTGTCAATCTCATGCTCCATTCTTCTCTGACTTGTGAACAAAACCCTGAGATACTTGAACTCCTCCACTTGAAGCAGAACCTCACCCTCGACCTGAAGAGAAAAATCCGCCCTTTTCCGGTTGAGAATCATGGCCTCAGATTTGGAGGTGCTGATTCTCATCCCAGCTGCTTCACACTCGGCTGCAAACCACTCCAGTGAGAGCTGAAGATCACTGCACGATGACGCCAACAGGACCACATCATCTGCAAAGCGCAGAGATGGCATCCTGAGGCCACCGAAACGGAAACCCTCCACCCCCTGGCTGCACTGAGAAATTCTGTCCATAAAAGTTATGAACAGAATCTGTGACAACAGGCAGCCCTGGTGGAGTCCAACTCCAACCATGAAGGGGTCCGACTTGCTACAGACAATGCAAACACTCTGCCACCGCTTGTATAGGGACCGAACAGCCCGTAATAACGGGCCCCCAATCCCATACTCATTGAGCACGCCCCCACAGTGTGCCTTGAGGAACATGGTTGAAAACATTCTCCAAGTCTACAAAACACGTAGACTGGATGGGCAAACCCCGTGACCCCTCGAGGACCCTAGTGATGATGAAGATCTGGTCCAGTGTTCCACAATCAGGATAGAACTCGCATTAATCATCCTGGATCTGAGGTTTGACCAACGATCTGACTCACTTCTCCAGTACATAGACCTTACCAGGGAGGGAGGCTAAAGAGAGTGATGCCCCTGTAATTGGAGCACACACCCCACCCCCAGTCTGCCAATCCAGTGGCCCTGCCCCCTATGTCCATGCAATGTTGTACAGGCGTGTGAACCAACATAGCCCCACAACACTCGGATCCTTAAGGAAATCAGGGTGAATCTCATCCACCCACAGAGGCCTGCTTCCTAGGAGCTTTTTAACTACCTCAGCAACCTCAGCCACGGAAATAAATCATCCTATCGTAAATATTTTGCATCAAAACAAGCAATAGTTACTCACACAGCCCTGTTGAATCAGCCTGTCTGCTGATTTTCCACAGATCATATGACTGTCTTCTATTTTTATTTTACTGACACCACAAAGAGAAGGCTGTCATGGCAGCTGAGCCTGTTTCAGTCAAAGGATTGTTGTTTTCACCTGCTGTTGTTGTGGCACTTAAAGAGGTACAAAAACCAGCTGAAATGTCAAATCACCATTTAAACAGGTTAATTTTCTATGAGCCCCTCCAAACAAATAAAACTTAATACACAGTTGGCTTCTCACGGAGCTCTTGATATTGTTGCCTCTGACTAAGACACAGAAGAACAAACACTGCAAAAAAAAAAAATCAATGGGCTGGTTTAGATCATTTGTGCCCCTTGTACAGAAATGAATTACATGCTTAATCTATTGCACATTTTTTTCCTGTATTCAACACAAAGTAAATGTTTTCAAATTAAATATTAAAGTTGGTCTTGCTGGCTGATTGAACTTTGTTGCCAGCTGTGAAGCATGGCAGTGGCTCTATAATGATCTGGACCTGTGTTGGAGTTTATTCCAGTAGTATACCAAGAGAAGAGGAATCAAAAAGATTGAAAGATTCTGGTTTTAAGCATACTTAGATGTACAATGAGCTGCACAGAGGGGGTTTGATGAGTCCTTACAGCTGTTTAACCTAGAAACCATAAGTCTGTTGACAGCTATAGATGGCGAAAAATATTCCAAACAACAAATGCCAAAAGTTAGATGTAAAAAAAATCTACAGTTTCTCCGCTAATAAATAAGAATAAATAAACCTATATGAGTTGCATTACTTGCCAAAACAAGTGTTTCATCAGGCAAAGCACCCAAAAATGTTGTGCCGGTGTTCAACTTTTCTGCTTTGTTTTATCAGCTGTTTGTCTTTTTATTAAACAAATTACAATAAAATAAAATAGAAAAAGTTTAGTCCTAAACCTTCCCATGCATGTTTTCCAGTTTCAACTCTGGCTAATTCACGTGTGTGCTGTAGTAGTGACTCACCTCCTGTGGGCTGTTTTGGGGCTCCATGGATCGCAGATATCTGTGGAAGAGTCCTGTCACTGTTCTGTAGACGAGCAGATATTGTTCCTGGGATTAAACGACAAAAACCTGCTCTGTTAGGAGCCATGGCTCTGGGGCATGATGCACAAAAACAAAACAATAAAACACACAAAAAGATGCTGGAGAGAGGTGGACAAACTCAAAATCTTGTTCTGCTTGTTGGGAAACTTGCATCTGATTACTGTAGTTACCTTAGTTTGAACCACGGAGGGCCTCTGGGTTCTCATGTCCTGAACTAAGTTGTAGATATTGAAATTCAAGGAGATCATCTATGAACAGGAACATACAATACACAAGATGTTAAAACAGCTATATTTAATCAATTTAATGCCTGATGGGCACAGACAGACAGAATGGCTCACATGTTTCCTGAGGAGGTTCCACGTGTAATCGATGACGATCAGAGCTCCTGTTCTCCCACAGCCGGCACTACAAGGTTCAAGGTTCTTTATGATCATTCACATCACATGAGGTACAGAGGTGGAACAAAATTGTGTACTCAAGGTCCCAGTTACACCCAAAAATAGCAAAAGTATAAAAAAGAAACAGTATACAAGGGTCCAACATTTTTCAGTCAGGTCATCTGGACAGTTTCTTTTTTTTTGTGCTGAAAAGTTTCGCCTTCAATCCAGAAGGCTTCATCAGTCAAGGAAACAACAACAAAATTGATTCTTCCCCAAACAGCTTACTTCAAAGTGGAACAAACCAGTTTTGTTTGTAATAAGATGGTCTCTTTGGAGTGGGGGCGTACATCGCTGGTTCAAGCCCTGGTACGACAACATCAAAAATGTGGGTGGGGTAGGTGAAGCACCCACACCTGCCCCCACCCTCGTTCGTCCCACTCTGGGCCCTTGAGCAAGGCCCTTAACCCCCACCATCTGCTCCTCCGGGAGTCCTAGATAGCAGCTCTCTGCTCCACACAGAGGGCTGTGGTAGCTCGGTGGTCTGTGGTTGAGACACACACATACAAACCAGATTCCAAAAAAGTTGGGACACTAAACAAATTGTGAATAAAAACTGAATGCAATGATGAGGAGATGGCAAATGTCAATATTTTAGTCGTAATATAACATAGATGACAGATCAAAAGTTTAATCTGAGTAAATGTAACATTTTAAAGGAAAAATATGTTGATTCAAAATTTCAGTGTCAACAAATCCCAAAAAAGTTGGGACAAGTAGCAATAAGTGGCTGGAAAAAGGAAATTGAGCATATAACGAACAGCTGGAAGACCAATTAACACTAATTAGGTCAATTGACAACATGATTGGGTATAAAAAGAGCTTCTCAGAGTGTCAGTGTCTCTCAGAAGCCAAGATGGTAATAGGATCACCAATTCCACCATTGTTGCGCAGAAAGATAGTGCAGCAATACCAGAATGGTGTTACCCAGCGTAAAATAGCAAAGACTTAAGTTATCATCATCAATCGTGCATAACATCATCAAAAGATTCAGAGAATCTGGAACAATCGCTGTGCGTAAGGGTCAAGGCTGTAAAACTCTACTGGATGCTCGTGATCTCCGGGCCCTTAAACGCCACTGCACCTCAAACAGGAATGCCACTGTCAAGGAAATAACAGAATGGGCTCAGGAATACTTCCAGAAAGCATTGTCAGTGAACACAATCCACAGTGCCATCTGCCGTTGCCAGCTGAAACTCTACAGTGCAAAGAGGAAGCCATTTCTAAGCAAGCTCCACAAGCTCACTCGTTTGCACTGGACCAGGGGTCATTTAAAATGGAGTGTGGCAAAATGGAAGACTGTTCTGTGGTCAGATGAGTCACGATTTGAAGTTCTTTATGGAACACTGGGACGCCATGTCATCCGGACCAGAGAGGACAAGGATAGCCCAAGTTGTTATCAACGCTCTGTTCAGAAGCCTGCATCACTGATGGTATGGGGTTGCATGAGCGCTTGTAGCATGGGCAGCTTGCGTGTCTGGAAAGGCACCATTAATGCCGAGAACTATGTTCAGGTTCTAGAACAACATATCCTCCCATCTAGACGTCATCTCTTTCAGGGAAGACCCTGCATTTTTCAACACGATAATGCCAGACCACATTCTGCAGCAATCACAGCATCATGGCTACGTAGGAGAAGGATCTGGGTACTGAAATGGCCAGCCTGCAGTCCAGATGTTTCACCTATAGAACATTTGGCGCATCATAAAGAGGAAGGTGTGACAAAGAAGGCCCAAGACGATTGAACAGTTAGAGGTCTGTATTAGACATGAATGGGAGAGCATTCCTATTTCTAAACTTGAGAAACTGGTCTCCTCTGCCCCAGACGTCTGTTGAGTGTTGTAAGAAGAAGGGGGGATGCCACACAGTGGTAAAAATGGACTTGTCCCAACTTTTTTGAGATTTGTTGACGCCATGAAATTTGGAAACAACAGATTTTTCCCTTAAAATGATACATTCTCTCAGTTTAAACTTTTGATCTGTGATTTGTGCTCTATTCTGAATAAAATATTAGATGTTGGCACCTCCACATCATTGCATTCAGTTTTTATTCACAATTTGTTTAGTGTTCCAATATTTTTGGAATTTTTTTTGTTTTTGGTCTGTGGGAGGAAACTGGAGTACCTGGAGAAAACCCACGCATGGACAGAGAGAACATGTAAACTCCACCCAGAAAGGCCCCCTGCCAGGATTCAATCCGGCGATCTTCTCACTGAGTAGAAACAGTTCTTCTAACCGAACCAACTGCTAAGAATCTTTTACCAAAAAAAAAAAAACTTGCTTCAACATTGATGCAATAAACAAGAAATTCATAAAATCACTATTAAATAAAAGAAAAATGAAACGCTGTTTTATCCTGATGCATGCTCAATAATCCAGGTAGAAAAATTCAAACACTGTTTTGTACAGATTGTATTTTCAAACCCAACACTGACTGAGCGTGCAGCTTTCTTTGCACACAGATGGAGACTTAGTATCACTCGCTGTCATTTTCCAGTAAATGACAAAATGTCATTGTTAACATCATGTAATGTTATGTGGAAAAACTCTGGGGAAAGCCCTCACACACACACACACACTTTTGCCACCTACACACATTTCCTGTCAGACAGAAATGGAGGAGGGGCTTCACATCTGATGGAGCAGACATGTATCCACTGCATCACGTTTGACAGGTTGCTTTTTTGTTATTAGATTCTGCCGTTCTTCTGCATTTCCTTTCCGTCACCCGTTTTGTTTTTTCATGATCATGGTTCCTCAGCTCCTTTGATCACCCATTTACCTCCCAGATGTTCTTATACAGCATTCACCCATTACAGCGTATATGAGCTCTTTGCTTTTGCTCAGTTCTCATCAGCTCTTTAAAATGTGTTACTCTTCTTGTTTTGCTTCTGCTTTGATTTTAGGTTTACTTGTGCTCCTGGTCTGTTTACTATTTGTTGTCACTATTCAGTTTTAGATTTATGTGTCTGTCACTTTGAATGCTCTACATACTAATTTTTATATAAATAGGCCTCATAGCTTGTTACTTATCCTTACAAAATATTTTTCTACCTGTCACTAATCAAGCTCCATAAAAATACTCACAATTATTATCCGTTATTAATTATCATATGTTAAAATGTCATTGCACTTGTAACTAACCGTCTTTGAGTAATAAGTCAAATTGTGAACAGACAACAAAGCTAATTAATTTTCCTTTAAATGAAGCTACCAAAAAGTAATCTCTGGTTGGACATCCAAAACTGCTTAAGTTATGGAGTCAAACTCATTCAACATGGTTGCCACAGCTCAGCAACCACAAAAATAACTACAACCTAGCCCATTTGACAAATATTAAACTTAAAACTGATGTGCTAAATGGAATGTGAATGACTGGATAGTGGTGGAATCAAACCCCCAACTCTCCTATTGAACGAAGACTGCTCTGACCAATCAGCCACAGCTGGCCCATGTGGTAGTAACCGAGACTGACCCATAACACATACTCTGAACACTGACTGATCAAGCAAGATCTGTTTGTTGAATTCTGCCATCAACTACTGGTCAATTTTATCTCACTTTAATGAAACGTTCAGAAAACAATCACTGGGAAAAAAGCCAATACTGATTAAGTTTTGAGTCAACTCAGTTCAAGATGGCTGCCACAGCTGACGTATGAAACATAAAAATACCTTTAGCTCAATCAGTTTTACAGATACTGAGCTATAAGATGGTGCAGCTGGGCGTCACTGACAGTACATACTGTAAGTGCTGCAGATAGAGTGAAATCTTTGCTTTAAAATTTTAGCATTAACTATTGGAGTCAATCTCATTTGCTAGCAAAAAAAATTCATGAACCACTATGCAGATTTGAATGAAATGTTTTGAAAAGTAGTTACTTTATGCAAATAACTGTGGAGTCCCGCCATTTAACAGCTATAAAAAAATCAACCTTAGCCAATATAAAAATGGATAGTGTGGTAAATTTGACAGATATTGAGCTAAATTTTGGTGTGGAGGTAGCGGAGTCATCCATAACACATACTCGGACTTCAACAAAGTTCAGTCAGGTCATCTGCAGGTTTTTTATTTTTATTTTTTGAGACGCTTTGTCCTTCATCCATAGGGCTTCATCAGTCCAAGGAGCCACAACAAACTCAGTCCAACAAGCAGCACACGCACATAGTGGACCAACCAGTTTGATGGTGATAAAATTATTTTTGGGGCTCGCCCTCTCCCCCGTCGACTCCTCTGAGGCAGCCATAGCCAAAGTGGTTCAAAACATCAAAGTTCATGCTCAGTAATCCGTAATAATCTAATGTTTTGTCCTTCACACTTTGGATGAAGGACAAAACGTCTCATTAAAAGAAACGAAACAGTCCAGATGACCTGACTGAGCTCTGTTGGATTTTTTACCTGGATTATTGAGCATGATCTTTGATACTCTGACTTATTACACAAGATCTTAGTTTGTTGGCATGATAGGCAGTGATTGACATCTATTGCTGCAAGGAATTTAAAGACCTTGAATTTCTTAATTTATTTAAATATTTTCAAAAGAGCTGTTTTTGTTTAGTGTTTATATTGTGTGCTCTTCATCTTCTTGTTAGGTTGTGGTTTAGCTGATAGCAACATAGTTGCAAAAACAATCTTTTTCATGAGCAAAGTAAATCTTTAAAACTTTGTATTGTGCAGAATGTACATTTTTGTATCACTTGAAAAGAAAAATCTTTGCAGCGGTTGTTTTAATGCACTCATGGTAAAAAGTCCCGCTAAGGTTTTCTGAGCATGCTCACCTGCAGTGGATGCATATGGGAACGTCATCATGAGGCTGATAGCAGCGCATCTCGTGCAGCATGTCCAGGATGGGGGGGATGGTGTCAGGTACGCCATGATCCGGCCAGTTGACATAGTGCAGCTGTTTCAAAGTGTGGCTCAACTGGAAAAAAACAAGCTTCTATCTCAGTTTTAAACGAGCACATTTACCACACTTTTCCTGCCCAGTGTGTCAAAGTGAAAGCTGAAGATTTCTTTAAACCAGCAGAGCCTTTCTTTGAGATGCCAGATATAACAGGACACCTTTGTTCAGTTAAGACTTTCAGACTCTGTGGCTGTTATCTCATTTTTCTCAAGTAAACCGTGCTGACATTTGCTTTTACAGTTCATGCTTACTTTGTGATAAGTCAGCCTTAATGTCCTTGTCAGGTATTCTCCTTTGTCCTCCTCTGAATCCTGTAAAAATAAGCCCAGTCTGCATTTTAGCTGGTTACTGATTTGTGCCGCTTAAAAAAAACAAGAGTGAATTTTGTTTTGGTGCAAGATTATTGCCGTTTGTTGTATGCCACACTGTGGGTGCTGGGTGAAGAAGAGACGGAGCTTTAATATTGGCAAACATTTGGGAAAACGGTGTGATACTGATGAGAGCAGGTCATGTGACTGAGGGGAAGATTACTCACACAGTGAACTGTAAAAGGCTCGCACACAAATGCCTCGTCTTTTGTCTGTGGCCAGTAAACCTCACACTTTTTCTACAAAATGAAAGACAGAAGAATTTTTCTTTCAGCAGGCCTACTTGTTACCGAACAACCCCAAATTAACGAAAGTTCAACTGATGTGTAAAATGTATATAAAAACAGATTGCAATGATTTTCTAATCTTGAAAACATTTTTTCACAAACAATAAAGAAATTAAAACATTTTTTGTAAAACAAAATGCAATTTTGAATTTGATGGCTGCAGCACATCTAAACAAAATGGGACAGGGACAACAACAAAAAAGGAAGCAGTACAGATAAGAAATAGCCGGAGTTGCATTTTGCAGCTAATTAAGTGAACCAAATGTAGAGAGTGTGTTTTTTCTGCCTCTAACCACAGTTCTTGCAATTCCTAATGGAAGGGTGGAGCTTACCTCTCACACCAGTTCCTGATCCAGCCTGATGAAGCCTGCTCTACGTAAGGACCTGTGATTCAGTAAATTTCCATTGGAACATTTGAGCCCTTCGGGTATCAAGTCTACAGCCCTCTGAGTCTAAACCAGATAAGAAAATACTAACCTGTACTCCATGTGCTTTCTTCAGTCCTGAATACTTACCTGTGGAAGTCCTGCTTCCCTGAGCACTAACTAACTTAGCTTCCCATGAGATCAACACCTGGAACCACTTACTTCAGTGCCTCGTCAATGTCAGTCAACAAAAGCTGACCAAAGTGCTTTACAATTTAGTCAAATTAAAATGAAAACAAGAACGAAAGACAAATACATCTTGTGCCACTCAGGAAAAATAAAAAAGTTAAGAAAATACAATAACAAAAATCAGATAACTGGTTCTCAAACTCTGCATGGATCAAGCACCAAGAAAAACAGATGAATGAGTTTTGAGCAAAGATTTAAATGTCTCAACAGTCTTGGCAGTCTTTAAGTGATCAGGCAAACTGTTCCAAAATTTTTGAGCAGCAACTGCAAAAACTCAATCACCTTTGGACTTCAGTTTGGCTCTGGGGACATCTGAGAGGAACTGGTTGGTAGACCGTAGTGCTCTTACTGGAGCATAGATGTTAAGATGATCACATAAATAAGATGGGACCAGACCTTTTAAGACTTTAAAAACAAGCAATAAAATCTTAAAATCAATCTGGAAGTGAACAGGAAGCCAGTGGAGAGAAGCCAGGACAGGGGTTATGTGTTCATGTTTTCTAGTTGCTGTTAAAAGACAAGCTGCTGCATTCTGGATGGTTTGTAAGAGATGCAGAGATGATTTATCTAAACCAGCATACAAAGCATTACTGTAGTCCAAACGAGAGGTAATAAAAGCGTTAATCACCTTTTCAAGGTCTCTGAAAGGGAGACAAGACTTCACCTTGACAATGAGTCTTAGTTGGAAGAAATTGGATTTCACAACTGCATTTATCCGTTTGTCTAATTTAAAAACACTATCAAAAATAATTCCCAGATTCCCGACAGTGGAGTGGCTATTTGAAGCCAAGGGGCCAAGAGTGTAAGGAGCATTACATTTACCAAAGCTGATGACTTCAGTTTTATTTTCATTTAGATTCAGGAAATTTAGATTTGCACAAACTTTAATGTCATTTAGACAGGTCAGGAGTGGTTCCAGTGTTGTGACCCTGTCTAATTTAATGGGCAGATAAAACTGAATATCATCAGCAAAATGGACCCCAAAAGCAACATGTAGAGATTAAAAAGCAGTGGACCTAAAATAGACCCTTAAGGGACCCCACAGATCAGAGGAGTTGGAGATGAAGAACATTCCCCTAAATGAACAGAAAAATTCCTGTCAGTCAGGTAGGATCTAAACCAGGATAAAACTGTGCCTTTGATACCGACCACCTGCTCAAGTCGTGACAACAAGATGTTATGGTCCACAGTATCACAGGCAGCAGAACGATCTAAAAGCACCAAAACAGCAGCGCTTCCTGCATCAATGGTTAAACAAAGGTCATTAAAACTCTTAAAAGGGCCGTCTCTGTGCTGTGGCCTGATTTAAAGCCTGACTGGAATTTTTTCACCAAAGCTATTGGCAGTTAAAAACCTCTTAAGTTGATTAAAAACAACTTTCTCTAAAATGTTGCCAGTAAAGGCAGTTTAGAAATGGGTCTATAATTTAAGACCACTGTTGGGTCAAGGTTTTTCTTCTTTATGAGAACACAGCATGTTTAAAAGAAGCTGGAACACAGCCTGATGACAGGGACGTGTTAATCAGGACAAAAACTAATGAACCAAGAGTGTTAAAAACTTCCTAAAAAAACCCAAAAAAGTCACAGGCTCAAACTGTTCAAAGGTAGATGAGGAAGGAGGAAGTAAGGAGGGGTCTGTGTAAAGTTGTGTTGAGGAGGGTCTCAGAGCAGAGATTTTATCAATTAAAAAAAATGTTGAAAACTGTTCACACAGCAACATGACCTGCATCACAAGGATTCACAACAGAGTTAAAACATTAAAAACAACCTGAGGTCTGTGACTGTTGTTTGAAACCACATTAGATTAAAAAAGCAGCTTTACCAGCTCCCTGATAATTTGACAAGCTGTCTAAAGATTCAAAAAGCATTCAATACAAAAACAACTGGACTTTATTTGTAACAGAGAACGTTTGATTTCATTTGACTTCATTCTATTGATTTTGCTAACAAAGTTCAACATCTGAAACTAACCCCAGGAGAAACCCTTGTATCGTATGATGTGACTTATCTTTTCACATGCATAGCCATCTCTGAAGCAATAGAAACCGTCAGAAAACAATTTCTACAAGACAAGGACTTAATCAACAGGACCAACTTCACCCCGGACCAGATCTGCACCCTGTTGGATCTCTGCCTCTCCACCACTTATTTCAAGTGCAATGACAGTTTTTTTACAGACAGAAGCACGGCTGTGCCATGGGCTCTCCAGTGTCACCCATTGTTGCCAATCTCTACATGGAGGAAGTGGAACAGAGAGCCCTAAACTCCTATGAGGGAACAACGCCAAGCCATTGGTTCCGATTTGTGGATGACACCTGGGTCAAAATCCAAGCTAAGGAAATAGAAGCGTTCACCAGACACATTAACTCTGTCGATAACATCAAGTTCACCAGAGAGGATGCAAACAACAACAAGCTGCCTTTTTGGACTGTTTGGTTCAGATGGAAAGAGAGGACAGCCTCAACATTGAAGTTTACAGAAAACCAGCCCACACAGACCAGTATCTTCTGTTTGACTCCCACCATCCACTGGAACACAAACTGTCATCAGAACTTTACAGCATCGGGCCGAACGCGTCTCCATGAAGACAGAAGGGAAGGAAAAGGAACAGAAACACATTCAAGAAGCTCTCCAAACATGTGGATATCCTAACTGGACTTTTGTCAAGTCAGCGAGGAAATCTACAAAGCACACTAATAAACAGAAAAAGGAGAACAACAGACGGAAAAACATTGTCATCCCTTACGTTGCTCAGGTATCAGAGAAATTCAGAAGGATTTTCAACAAACAACATCCCAGTACATTTCAAACCCAGCAGGACTCTCAGAGGCTGGTCCACCCTAAGGACAAAACACCCATACACAAAGAGTGGTGTAGTGTATGCGGTCCAATGCAGCGAGGACTGTCCAGACCTCTACATTGGAGAAACTAAACAGCCTCTTCACAGACGCATGGCTCAACACAGGAGATCCAGCTCTTCAGGACAAGATTCAGTTGTTCACCTCCACCTCACAGAGAAGGGACACTCTTTTGAGGACCAAAATGTGCACATTTTGGACCGAGAACACAGATGGTTTGAGAGGGGGGTGAAGGAAGCAATTTATATTAAAAGAGAAAAGCCGTCTCTTAACAGAAGAGGAGGCCTCAGATTTCCACATTAAAAAACCTATAATGCAACTTTAAGACTGATTCCCAGCCAGTTTTTACACCTGATGGGAACAGAGGGGTCTCATCTGTGAATTAGAGTAACAAAGACTTTAAAAAGCCCCCTACTGTTAAGGTGTGGAGGTGTGACTTGTCAAATCTATACATGTGTGTGTGTCTTATCTCACTCAGCCTTATAACCTGAATCTCTCACTCACTGCTCATTGAATTGAGAAAGCTCCTCGGATGAGGAGCGAAACGTCTTCCGTTACAAATAAAGTCCAGTTGTTTTTGTATTGAACGCTTTTTGAATTCATCATGTCCTGGATGACTGAGAATCTTCACCAGCATGTCTTTAAAGATGTCCAGGGAAACCTGCAGTCTGTCCTTACTCCATTTCCTCTCAGCTTGTCAGTCCTGACGTCTGAGTGCGTGGGTGGATTCGTTCAGCCATGGCTGAGATGGAGACTTTGTTCATTTGATTTTTAGATGGAACAACAGAGTTCAGAATGTCAGTAGAGCTAAAAAGATCAGTAAAGTCATCCACAGTGGACACAGCAGAACTGAGGGTTGCAGGAAACGGTCTTTTAAACCAGTGGAGAAATGCAGCACATTTGAACTAATTGCACGTGCAGATTGCACAGATGGTCTAGTTCAATAGCAGAGATCCCCACATTGAACAGAACTGGTAGATGATTTGATGAGTTCCAAAGATTTCCACAATTGACGTTTATTCCATAAGACAGCACAAGATCCAGCGTGTGTCCTTTTCCAGGATTAGCATCTGTCACGGACTGCTTGAGATTAAAAGAGTCAATGTTCAAAAAATCTTTGACCATAGGTCCAGCCTCACAGCAGGCATGAATGTTAAACTCACCAACTATTAAAAGACGGTCAAAGCTCAACATAAGTCCCGTCTTAAAATCAGTAAAATCTTTAATAAAATCCTTGCTGTTTTTAGGTGGTTGGTAGATTGTGGCGCAGAGTAAAACAGGAAAGAAGTTCATCTCTACCATCTGGAGCTCAAAACTCAGGTAAAAATAATAATAATAATAATAATAATGTCATCACAATGTCAGCACTGTATGTTTCCATACAATGGCAAAATTAGTCTCTGCATTTAACCCATCCACCACCAGGTGGTGCAGTGGGCAGCTATTGAAAGCGCCCGGGGGACATTTTTGGGGATTAGACGTGCTGCCCAGAGACGCCACGTGATGTGCAGTGACTGGGGATCGAACCTGGGACTCTCGGGTCCCAAGCCGGCTGCCCTGCCTCTACAAAAATGAATGGGAATCAGCCGGCAGTTAAAACTGGATTTTAAAATAGAGGCGAATCCTTTACCTGTGGTCCAAGGAGAGCTAAAGAAAGTACAGTCAGGAGGGAGAAGATCAGAAAATGGAGGTGTCTCACCAACATGAAGCCAAGTTTCTGTCAAGAACATAAAATCCAATTATTGGGAGGTAAAAATGTCATTCAGAATAAAAGTCTTATTGGTTATGGACCTAGTGTTAAGTAAGGCTACTCGGAGAGTCTGATCCTAGTTGAATGGAGCAGGTGCACGCACCCGCTGGTGAAGATTCCTGAAGTTTGTGCCACATTTAGAATCCTTTCCCATCGCCAGTCTGAGGAAAAGTCCAAATGAAGGGATGGAGTCACAGATTTAATGTCTCCATTCATACAGATAGTTGCTCATATGAAGTGAGAGAAACCAAAATTGTTGCCAGATGACATGAGATATCCTTTGATTCTTACCAAAAATTCTCCCCACTTTCCGTGTCTCCTCAGGCGTCTTAGAGGTTGAAAAGCGCAGGGCGTACAACACAGACAGTCCAGTATGTATGACGATGAAGAGGTAATAAAAAGGTTTGTAGGCTCAATCATCCAGGTAGGTTAAAAAATGGTTAAATCATTTCATCTGGACCAGTTTCTTTAAGAGAGAAACGTTTCGTCTTCCATCTGGAAGACTTCATCAGTCTGCGTCCTGCCAAAACAGATTTTTTATGAAGAGTTAATCTTGATTAATAATTTCTAAAACCAGATGGCTACTGGCAACTTAAAATGATGGAGGTTGAGACGAGTTGTGTGATCATAGACAAGCAGAGGTGTCAAAGCAGAAAATAAAATTCAAACAAACAGCAAAAAACAAGCAGAGCATAAATGGCAGATGGCTAGCTGTGACTTGTGCCATCTTGTTCATTGTGTATTCTCAGAGATCCCTTGTCCTCTAACTGGGTCAGCTTCTGAGTTTCAGTCCTGCCACTCTCCTACAAACCAATACTGACTTCATCTGTTCTGTTCCATCACCTGTTGGAATCCTACTCCCTCTGCTCATCACCTACAACTAAGACAAACAAGGATACATTCTGACTACCAAGAACTGTTCAACACCCATTTCTGCGATACTTACCTTTCCATCCACTTCTCTACAGATTCATTACAAAGTTCCAGTTTTCTTTTATCCCTTCACAGTAAATAAAATGGACTGTACTTATATAGCGCCTTTCTTATTTCAAGATACTCAAAGCGCTTTACACTACGATCTGTGTCCTCATTTACCCATTCACACAGCACTCTACTAGATCTCTACAAAGCTAATTGAACAAATCATTCTAAAGAGACTGATCAGAGTTTTATCACATTCAAACACCAATGGGACACACATTGGAGGCTATGAGGGGTTCAGTGTCTTGCCCAGGGACACTTCGGCATGTGACTGCTGGTGGATTCGAACCCCCAACTCTCGCATTGGAGGACGACTGCTCTAACCACTCAGCCACAGCCGCCCCTAAAACAGTTTCAGCTTCTGGCCAATACTCAAGTCTTCCCACAGCTCAATGAAGTCACAATGCGAGATATGCACTTTCCCATCTTCCAGTTTGCCCGTGATAAAATACAGTTCGTCTCCAGTGTCCAGTGGCTCCACATGATGCAGAGGAGGGAGAAGTGTAGACAGGATTAATATCAATAGGGCCTTTATACACTTCAGTCACTCGGATGTCATATTCAATGCTCTTGATAGCGTTTCCGAAGGTGTCATTCCCAGTTTCAACCATCTGACTTCCAGAGACTACTGCATTGAGAACAACATCTGATCTGCAATAACCCTGCTGAATTTTGATTGGGAGACACTTGCAGGCTTCTGCCCCATCTGCTACTTGCCGAAGAAACGGGATGGTCAGTGAGACGAAACAGCTTTTCATCATCAGAGTCATCTTTGGATGCTGAAGTAGGAATCAGCTGTCAAAATGTGATGCAATCAAATAGAGAGCAACTTGTACTCCCTTGGCTCTGGTCTCTGTATAGCTCACTAACCTTTTTATGGTTATCTCTCTTGTTGTCAGTTTGTCTACTCTGAGTGGCAATGGTGTAAATCATGATACTAACTAAACTGAAAGTCTGTCATCTTCAGATCATCAAGTGGCGCTGCCCTATAAACAGATCTAATTCTTTTTTTTCTTTTTTTTATCACTAAGCAAAGGCTCATGAACACTTCCACAAATCATTGTTTGTAAATACAGTTTAGTGTGTCATCCAAAAACGCAGGTTAAAGCTCTATCATGCAAATGAGCCATGTGCGAACACCATGTAGCAACACCACTGTCTTCTCTGGGCTAAAGGCTCTACTATACTTTAACAAGATGTGAGATATCGGATCTCGCCGATATACCTTGAGACAGTCTTTTTCTCACAGAATATTTACAGTATATTGTAGGGGTGTAACGGTACGCTAAAATCACATTTCAGTTCGGTTCAGTTTCAAGGAGGGCTCGGTTCGGTTAATTTTCGGTACAAAAAAGGCCCAAATAAAGACTTACAAAATGTTTATTTTGAAAATATGCCAAGTGAACAAGTTCAATCATTACAGACTTCTAAGCTGGAGGTGATCGGGTGGATTAAGAAGACTCAGCTGCTATCATCCTCAGACTGCAAACAACAGAGATTTAAAAAAAAAAAAAAAATGTGTTAATAAGATTATAATTTTAAATTAAAAAAGTTAATTAGATCACAATAATACAATAATGCCTCACTTTGCATGGTCATCATATGAGGTGGTTGAATATCCTCACTTATCATCATCAGGGCAGAGCTTTGTTTAAATCTGGGCTCCAGGGCTTGTTGACAATATTCATTTTAAAGCTTTTTCATAAAGTGCTGCTACAACTTTTTGACTGAAGTGTTGACGTGATGGGATGTCGTAGGCAGAGGGGCTCAAGAATTTTGTGCTTAAATCCGGTGCATCAACATCATTCGGACGTAGATCCACAGCTTTCAAAACTCCTACAGCTTGTCTTATTGCTCTGGACCGATCTGAATTACCTGATAAAGGTTGTGTTTAAATGCTGCTGTTATCGGTCTTTGCACCAATCAAGCTGTTATTCTGTAGAAGAGACATTCACATTCGAATGATGTCGTTTCAAGTGCGTTAACAACTTAGACGTGTTGCCTGGTGCAGATCCAATTTCCGTGAAACAACGTCGACACAAAGCTTTGTATTTGCACTTGTCTTTTCCCATTGTTAAGTTCTAACAAGAAAGCCATAACTATAACGTTCCCAAACAGGAGACCGCAACGAGATGCTAGGCTGCTAATGCTAAGCGTGCTGCAAGAGAATAGTGCTATGCTGAAATACGTGTAGGAACTTTAGTTCCGTGGCGCATATTCTCTTGTTAATAAATTTTAATCAGTGAAAAAATAACCGAAACTGTACGCACGTGGACCGAACCGAACATGCTGTACTGAAACGGTTCAATACACCCACGTGTACCGTTACACCCCTAGTATACTCCAAAGAGCACCTGCTGGGGATAAATCCTGATAAACTCATGTAAAATGGCATGAAGCGAGGTAGAAACTTTTGCGGTCGGATGAATCAAAATTCTTTTTGGAGAACACACCACGTCTTTTGTACTAAAGAGGAGAAAGACCATTCAGGCTGTTATTGATTCAGACCAAAATCCTGCTTGGTATAGGGGTGCATTAATGCCTGTGCCATGGGCAACAAACAAAACAACATCTGTCAATCTAGAATCCTACGAGACAAGAATAGGGAACATTTCCTCTAAAAACTCCAAATGGCTCCTAGACATTTTTGTTAAAAATGTTAACAGGCATTGGTAAATGTGGCACAGTCTTAACTTTTTAAAAATGTGTTGCCGTCATTTATGTCCCAAAAGAAGAAGAGATGGACCCAGGATGCAGTCCAATAAGAGGATTTGGTAAAAGTTTAAACTTTAATAGAGATATAAACCAAAGCAACAAACAAAGGGTCGATGTGGCAGCAAACACAAACAGAAACTAGAGGGACATGGAGGAGAACTGGACACGGCATGAAGCACGATGCCAGACTGCAGATGAACTGGGAATATGCGCTTAGGAAGTCTGGGACTGAAGAGGTAAGTGGAGACAGGTCAGACTGATGATCACAGGGAACAGGTGTGAGAGGGAGTGGCAGGACTGAGGAGCAGAAAACTGACTGAGTAGAAATGAACTCTGGTGGCATTATAAACATAAATCTTCCAAAAACAATAACAACAAAGATCTTGACAAAAATTCAAACTCATCTACTTTATTCCAAGAAATGGTACAATATTTTACTCTAAATATTTGATATATTTACTATGTTTCAATGTGGATACATATGGGTTTATTATATATGTAAATCATTGCATTCTGTTTTTATTTACATTTTATATAACATTTTAATTCTTGTAACTGGGATGTAAATTCTTACACAAATGCAAAAACACACATTTTACACACTAAAGCAGAGCAGCAGTGTTACCTTTCCCATCTCAAATTCTCGACAGGACATCACTATGATCTAGAGTAAAAAAGTAAAGAAATTTGAGGAGTTCAATTGGACCAAAATAAAACCAATTCATTGGCAGACAAACTGATTACAGGCAGCCCTACCTGAACATCATATTCCCAAAGCATCCTTAAAAAGTCCACCACTGTGTGAGGCAGCGGACCTTGAGTAGCAATATATGCTTTGGATCCTGAGACCCCCTGTACACAAAACACAACTTAAAGTCAAGTTGTTAAATTATAAATTGTTAGCTACATGTTGGTTGTTTTTTTTGTTTTTTTTTTAAAGATATATAGTAGAGTATTCTCAGTTTACCTTGATGAAACTGGCATTGATGTAGTCTGTGTCTATTTTAGAAGAACGGAGTGTGAGCTTTACTCTTGTATGGTCGACTAAAAAGGAGAAAAACATGTTACAGTATGAAGCTTTGGTAAAATGTAAAGGTTTACAGAGTAAAAAAAAACTTTTGCAATTATAATTTCAACAGCTCAAAACAGAAACGGAAAATACAGTAAAATACGTAAATATATGTATTTTTCCGGTTCTTACAGGTATAGTTGATGTGTTTAATACACCATTACAAGGCTGGTGTGAGGCTAACAAGCTACTGTTATCTAAAAAAAAGGTTTAAAAAAAACTGAGCTCCTATTCTGAAGCTGAAGACATTTTGTTTCCCATCCGGAAGGCTTTATCAATTCAAAAATGTCGTGTGGAGCTGCCAACTTTATATAACTGCTACTGTTAGTTAGTTTTGTGTTTGAAAAGGCTGTTTAAAATTAGCTTTTAACTGCTTTAGTTGAATGTAGGCACTTACAGCCTGCTGGTTATGCGCCTGCCCAAGAAGCGCTAATCTTGTGTATCCCTTTTACTCCATTTTGCTCTTGTGGTTTGGAATGAGAATAAAGCTAATAAATGTAAAGTGGAAGTTCACTGTTCATCCTGTCCTCTATAAGTACAGCTTCTTACTTTACGAGAAAGGTCAGCACAAGGCTTATTCTGCAGAACAAGCCTTGTGCTGACCTTGCTGAATGGGGATTATTTATTTCTGGAGGACGTCAGTGGAGCTCAAACCATGAGCATTCTGTCACCGGTTTGATGCTCAACCGTAGACAGGCAAGTTCAGTTTTTAGAGAAAGTTACTAAAAGCAAGACTCACTTCTTTCTGAATTGGGCAACCTAGTTTTGTTTGGTCTGAGTCCCAACTACCAGCTGGTGAGATCACAGTACTCATCACAGAGTTTAGTAAGACAAAAAGTAAGAGGATGCTGCTTTTCTTCAGTTTTGACTAGACCCCCATTAGGGAAATAAGGATATACTGGACATTGCCCCTTAATGTCCATGGTCTGTCAGAGGACAACAGTAAATCTTAGTTTGGTTGGTATCGTGGCGGCTGAGCCAGCAGGTCAGGATGATTTGTCTTTTACCTTTGTACTGCTTGCAAGCTGAAACTCTTACCAGTACAGACACAAGATTATGGCCAACCCATTCAGCATGAAGCATATGCTACCCTTTATACCTTCAGTGAGACAGCGTATCGACACCGTCTTAGATGTGGAACATACAGGGAGACATAACAACCTATCATTGGTTGCTGCCCAAAGGGTGTCTTGTTAGTTTTGTTCAGGGTCTCAGTCCCAATAGACTGCATTTTTCCCCACAGTCTTCTAAGCACAATTTCCTTATTCACACAATTTTTGCACCAAAAACAAACAAAAAAAAAAACCTACTTTTGTAATTAAATGTTTCATAAGGGGCAGCACGGTGGTGCAACTGGTAGAGCTGCTGCCTCTCAGCGAGCAGGTCCTTGGTTCAAATCCCAGTCCACGGGCCTTTCTGGGTGGAGTTTGCATGTTCTCTCCGTGCATGCGTGGGTTTTCTCCGGGTACTCCGGCTTCCTCCCACAGGCCAAAAACATGTATGTTAGGCTGACTGGTAAATCTAAATTGTCCATAGGTGTGCTAGAGAGTGAATGGTTGTTTGTCTCGTTTGTCTCCATGTGGCCCTGTGATGGACTTGCAACCCGTCCAGGGTGTACCCCGCCCCTCGCACAGTGATTGCTGGACAACATGGGCACCGGCGACCCCCATGACCCAAAATGGAAGAAGCGGGTAAAAGACAATGGATGGGTGGATGTTTCCTAGGGCACAGTAATTCTTAAAAATGTTTGTGTAAACTTTCCAAATATTTCAATGAAGAATGCATTTTCTGTGAAAATGTCAATCAAAAGACTGCAGGCAACAGTCAAATAATTCTGATCTCTCTTGTAGTTAGTTTGCATTGCCAACAGTGCTACAGGTCAGCCACATGGTAGCACATCTACTCCTCTTGTGTACGTACACACTGATGACTTTGGTGGAAAAACACTGTTGCAGTGGTACTGGTTAGCCCTGCTTCTTCCTTGTGGTAAACACTGCTGCAAGAGGTGAAGCAACCAAGATTCTTAGGATGGAAATGAACGTGTTATTAGCAAAATGAGATATTTGTGTAATGAACAAAGGTTGGCACAGATATTATTTTGTTGCACCGGTGTATTGAACTTTGATTTTTGACTTAAGAGTGTTAAGCAAATAAACTTGAATGGACAAATTCAGAATGTTTTTAAATTCAATGTCAGAATCAAGCAGCTTATGAATGCCATCAGACCGGGTGATTCGTTAGCAACAATTGATCTTACTTGTTAACTTTCACTTATTACCCAGACTACAGGCAGGTTTGCTTCTGAGGGCATTGTTTATGAATACCTAGTCCTGCCCTGTAATCTTTCTCTCACACGGCACACTTTTACAAAATGTGTGGGGGCAGCATTAGCCCACCTCAGGCAAAATGGTGTCTGTTTTTTGGATTATCTGGAGGACTGGGCTTTGAAAGCCAGCTCCAGAGAGCAGACAACAGAGCATCTGTCTCAGGTTCTTTCACACAGTCAAGCTCCATGTTTTTAGATAAATTTACAGAAAATCTCCCTAATCCTGAATCAGTTTTCATTCCTTGGGCCAATTCATTCAACCTTTATTTAGACAGGTAAATCCCATTGAGCCCCGAGGACTCATTTACAAGAGAGACCTGAATAAAGCTATCTGTCGAGCAGAACTCTTCTCTCAGAGCACAGAGCACGGCTGCCTCACTCAATTTCAGCTGGGACACAAACTGCATTTGCAGATGATTTTACAGCATGATAGTTTCCATGGTTGCAGTAGAACCACTTGGCCTGCTGCAAATGCAACTGTTTTAGAACTGGACTTGCTCTCACTGTACATGGAAACATGCAAGCAATGGCAGTGAGATGGGTTTGGATGCAAGCACAGTTCGAGCTCCACATAAACTACTTAAAGCCATTAGCAGTCTTGCTGGTTCTGTAGTGTTTTTGCTGGGTTCTGACAGGCCAACATGTTCAACTGCAAATTTACAGGGAGGGACTCATTCTCTCTTGCAGTGGTGCAACAAACATTTTTTGTTTATCATGGCCATTCATGTCCCCGGATGACTGAATATGGGGGAGGTTTGCTGTTCAAAGGCAGATCTCTGATGAAAGAATGCAGGTTTTATCCCTTTAGTAATGGCTCAGATGTACAGGTCCATCTCAAAAAATTAGCATATTGTGATAAAGGTCATTATTTTCCATAATGTAATGATAAAAATGAAACTTTCATATATTTCAGATTCATTGCACACCAACTGAAATATTTCAGGTCTTTAATTGTTTTAATACTGATGATTATGGCATACAGCTCATGAAAACCCAAAACGCCTGTCCCAAAAAAATAGCATATCATGAAAAGGTTCTCTAAACAAGCTATTAACCTAACCATCTGAATCAACGACGTAACTCTAAACACCTGCAAAAGATTCCTGAGGCTTTTAAAAACTCCCAGCCTTGTTCATTACTCAAAACCACAATCATGGGTAAGACTGCTGACCTGACTGCTGTCCAGAAGGCCATCATTGACACCCTCAAGCAAGAGGGTAAGACACAGAAAGAAATTGCTGAACAATAGGCTGTTCCCAGAGTGCTGTATCAAGGCACCTCAGTGGGAAGTCTGTGGGAAGGGAAAAGTGTGGCAGAAAACGCTGCACAACGAGAAGAGGTGACCGGACCCTGAGGAGGAGGAGAAGGGCTGATTTCAGACCTTGGGGGACCTGTGGAAGCAGTGGACTGAGTCTGGAGTAGAAACATCCAGAGCCACCATGCACAGGCGTGTACAGGAAATGGGCTACAGGTGCCGCATTCCCCAGGTCAAGCCACTTTTGAACCAGAAACAGCGGCAGAAGCGCCTGACCTGGTCTACAGAGAAGCAGCACTGGACTGTTGCTCAGTGGTCCAAAGTACTTTTTTCGAATGAAAGCAAATTTTGCATGTCATTCGGAAATCAGGGTGCCAGAGTCTGGAGGAAGACTGAGGAGAAGGAAATGCCAAAATGCCAGAAGTCTAGTGTGAAGCACCCACAGTCAGTGATGGTCTGGGGTGCCATGTCAGCTGCTGGTGTTGGTCCACTGTGTTTTATCAAGGGCAGGGTCAATGCAGCTAGCTATCAGGAGATTTTGGAGCACTTCATGCTTCCATCTGCTGAAAAGCTTTATGGAGATGAAGATTTCATTTTTCAGCACGACCTGGCACCTGCTCACAGTGCCAAAACCACTGGTAAATGGTTTACTGACCATGGTATTACTGTGCTCAATTGGCCTGCCAACTCTCCTGACCTGAACCCCATAGAGAACCTGTGGGATATTGTGAAGAGAAAGTTGAGAGACGCAAGACCCAACACTCTGGATGAGCTTAAGGCCGCTATCGAAGCATCCTGGGCCTCCATAACACCTCAGCAGTGCCACAGGCTGATTGCCTCCATGCCACGCCGCATTGAAGCAGTCATTCATGCAAAAGGATTCCCGACCAAGTATTGAGTGCATAACTGAACATGATTATTTGAAGGTTGGTGTTTTTTGTATTAAAAACACTTGTCTTTCATTGGTGGGATGAAATATGCTAATTTTTTGGGACAGGCATTTTGGGTTTTCATGAGCTGTATGCCATAATCATCAGTATTAAAACAATTAAAGACCTGGAATATTTCAGTTGGTGTGCAATGAATCTGAAATATATGAAAGTTTCATTTTTATCATTACATTCAGGAAAATAATTACCTTTATCACAATATGCTAATTTTTTGAGAAGGACCTGTAGTCTGCTTTGTGGATGCCCTATGTTCTTGTTTATAACAGAGAAAAAACAGTCTGCTGGAGGTGGATGTGATACTGAACCTTTATGGCCAGCAATGTCATGGTATGCTGACATAATCCTTCTGCTGGCAGCAGACCCCTGGCAGCCTGTCCATTGGGATCTCTTCACTCATTTAATCCACACCCAAAACTGTGGAAGGTGCATGCCTACCTGCTAAAAGGTACTGCTTCTTAGCTAAAGGCCTCCCATTGCTGTGATGGTGACAGTCCACAGCTCAAGAGTCTGCTCCACTAGAAGCCTTGCTTACAAATGGCAAGCCTTTAAGCAGTGGTGTTTGTGTGTGTGTGTGTGTGTGTGTGTGTGTGTGTGTGTGTGTGTGTGTGTGTGAACTGACTGAAAGGAAGCTTAAGAGTATGCAAATAACTTCTGTTCCCTGAAGAAGAGGAATGAGGTATAACACGTGGTTGCCCTGCTGCTCTACTGGGCTCTGAAGAATGGCTATCAAACTGAGAAATGATGGTGAGGATGGACAGGTAGTGTAGGCAGGGTCTGTCACTTGTCAACATGCCACTTGCCTAAAGGGGTCTTTGGTCAGGACATGTGGGGCATGATATCCTATAATTCATGAGTTGTATCTTGTTGTTCTTCAGGGAATGGCAGTTATATCCAAAACATTTTTTCTTTGGAGTGGTTGTGATGTGGTCGTGCTTTCAAATACCACAGTCTTTTATGTTTGATTATTTATGTCTGATATTTCTTCACAGCTAGACTTAGGGATGATCATTATCTGCTGTAGAAAGGGCACAATTCCCAAACCACATATTTTCAAAATCTACAGTCAGCAAAACTTACAGGGAACAATGTCCTTGTATCGGTTCTTCTTGATGTTTTCCTGCTTTTCTGCTGTCTTGGTGGAGAACGTCTTGTCAATGCGATACTTTGTTGACTGTGTTTTTAACTTCTGCAAAACACAAAATTAAAAAAAAATTGTTGTACTTTGTAAGTGCAATGTCATTATTATATGCACTGTAAGTGTAAAATTGTGAGCTGACTTTTGCAATCGTACATAAATATAATGGAAATGCTAATAGTTACACAGTAACATGTTCTTACATTTTATACCACTACTGTTACACATTACAATGCCCCAAATTAAGGGAGTGCAAACAAGAACAAAAAGGATAAAAAGTACATGTAGTTCTAATTTTTTTTTTTCATTTATTCAACCTTTATTTAAACAGATAAATCACATTGAGCCTCGAAGACTCATTTACAAGTGAGACCTGTTCCTGTTTGGACAGACAAAAACAGTGGTTAACTGGACACATGTAGGAATTGGAGGCGAAAAAAATTCCTATCAGACTTTTTTATTGGCTGAGAAAAACCCCTAATATTGAAAAAACACTTTGTACAAACAAGCACATATTTACGTAGACATTCTGCAGAGCAGAGCAGGAAGAAGGAAGAGACGAGACCGGTCAACAACGCCTACAGATGCTCTCGAGGTCACTGTAATCAGTCAATGTCCTCTAGTGAGATCCATAAACATTCTCGACGTATGTTAAGAAATGGCCAAGGATAACTTCTATAAGAATCCAGAGTCCTGAAATGATGACAAAGTTTTTTCAGCGGGGTTTCATCTGGTTATCAGTTGGAAATTCCTCAGGGAGGGGGTGGTGAGCGTCAGATCACATTTTCTCCAGGCGACTTTAGATAACATGGCCTTCAAGGACAACCAAGGCGACCAAAATTTAGATAAACGCACAGTTGTTTTGGGGACAGGCAGAACTTAATGACATCAACCTTGAGTCTGTGTTGGTCCACTCGGTTCCGAAATGTCCAAATTAACATGGCCAACACCGATGGAAACGTGTCCGAGTAAAAATCCCCAAGATCTGATCCATTCAGCCCAAAGCATTTGAGTCCGGGTACTCCAGACATGAACCAAGCCATCAAAAAGGCAAGCAGCGTGATCGGGTCCAAATTTGTTGCTGACGACTTCCTTGATTGTAGATAAAACCAGCACCAGCTGAATCCAAAAAGCAGGAACCAGTTATCGAAAATCCAATTAAATATGCGTCCTTAAAATCCACAGATGGCAGCAGAGATAGACACATCATCAAGTTTTCCAGTCGATGAGATCTCCAGCTGCGTACGTGCCAACAGGGTAAATCGGCTTGCCCAAAGCCCGTCTTCTCTTTGAAGAAATGTTGTAAATTGAGATGAGGGACCAACTGGTCAAAACAAGTCCATAATTATGGTTCGGAAGAAATGCAAGAGAGTCTCACAGCAATTTCACAGACAGACAGAGCAGCAAAGCAAAGCGAAGAGGGAGGGAGAGAAGCATCCGATCTCGTGGGGAGCGAGTGGTGAAGTGCTTCAGTAATGCCACTGTAATACATTTTAGGCAAGGGAAAGAACGAAATTAGCTAACGGGAAGCTGAAGTTGATAAAATCTATAGAATTGAAAGAGAACCAGTAGTAGAATATGTAGAATATTTTACTTATCTCGTGCAAAATACATTATTTATTTGAAACAAGAAAATAACTTGTTTACAGAAGATAATACTAAAAAGGTCAAAATTACTCAAGCCGATTTTCACAGTACCTAGAGTACCTATTTTCAGACAACCTTTTATTTTTAACAACTAGATTTTAACATGTTTTTTCTGCACAAGTTTGTTGAGTAGTTTGAACTACAGAAAGCTACATAATCTCAAAAATCATCCAGAGCTCCTTCCACAACCCAGTGGTGCAGAGAAACCAGCCTCTTGTTCAATGGGAGTGAAGTCCAAAATTTTTAGTCTTTAACTAAGGTTGTTTTCACACCTGATAGTCCGGTAGACTCTGTTCAACTGGGGACCAATTTTCATAACATTTGTTTACATTTTCAGCTGGTGCAGTTCACATTCACACTGTACTGAGTCAATCGAGCAAACCTGTTCCCCCCTTGCCTGTGGTGGGGCTGCACCAAGAACTACTGAAGGAAATGACACAAAAACCTCTGAAGAAGACACTTCTTCTTCTGGAAATAAAAACAAAAATGGAGTGGCGTCAAATTTTAGTGGTTTTAGGATTTCTGTTTTGTCTGTGGCACATGTGCCAAACAAACATTTTTCAACAATGTACTCAGCATCTTTTTCACACAAGGCAGCTGAATGAGGCATGAGAAATGTGCGTTTGTTTTGGTTGTATTTACACAGAATGCCATGCGCTATAGTCCACTTCCTGCCTTTGGAGAGGTCTCCAGTCCACTTGCATTCACACTGCATTTGAACCGCTTTAGAGTTCACGTCAACTGAACTGAGACCTAGATATTCAGGGTGCATACACACCAGTCCTGTTATCCCAAACTCTAGCCTCATATGGAGCCGTCAGTCGCCTTGTGTGAAAAACAACATTCTCCATGGTCTTCTGCCTCATCTTCCCCTCATGCTGAGTCCATTGTTGAAAAATGACAAAACAGAACTCCTAAAACTGCTAAAAATTGACACCACTCCATTTTTGTTTTTATTTCCAGAAGAAGAAGAAGAAGAAGAAGAAGAAGAAGTGTCTTCTTCAGAGACATTTTTTGTTGTTTCTTTCAGTAGTTCTTGGTGCAGCGCCACCACAGGCGAGTGGGGAAACAGGTTGGTTCAAACAAGTTGGCTCGACTGCACAGTGCTGTGTGAATGCAAATGCAACAGCTAAAATGTAAACAAAATGCTATGAATATTGGTCCTTATTGTGCTTCAAGGGGAGTCAGATTATATTTACCATATTTCTCAACTTTTGGGACAAGCTTGGTCTCCTTCCCCATCAGTGAAGTAATTTACATTGTTACTTTAGCCAAAGATCAGGTTAGTATGTGCTTTAGCAATCTGATCTATAGTTGTCTGATTGCCAAATCAGCAATGAGCCAGTCCCTTACAGCACCTTTTTGCAGGTGGTGGTTCTACAGGAGGGTGGTCCCATGTGGCTCATTCAGTCTGTCCGGACAGACTCTATGGGCTAGCCCTAGTTATAGACGATCACTGACAGCTGTCAATTACAGATGTAACCACAGATGCCCTAATGTGGTTCCATTAGAGACACCTCACAACAAAGCTTTACATATTCTTCTTTTGGCTTTTTCCTCTTCAGGGATACAGCAAGTCATCCTCCTCTATCTCATTCTGTCCCTTGTGTCTTCTGTCTTCACTCCAACTGCCTTCATGCCCTCTCTAACTGCATCCATATACTGTATATATTCTGTTTTTTCCCCTGGCAGCTGCATTTCTAACATCTTTCTACCAATATACTCACTGTCGTCCTCTGGACATGTCCAAACCATCTCAGTCTGGCCTGTCTAACTTTTTCTCCCAGTTGTTCAACCTGTGCTGTACCTCTGATGATCGCATTCCTAATCTTATCCATTGTTGTCCTTCCTAAGGAGAACCTCAACATCTTCATTTCTGCCACTTTCAGTTCTGTCTCCTGTCTTTTTGTCAGTGCCACTGTCTCCAGACCAAACAACATAGCCAGTCTCACTACTGTCCTGTAAACTTGTTCTTTACTCTTTGTTGCCACACTTTTGTTGTAAATCACTCCTGAAACTTTTCTCCATCCACTCCATCCTACCTGGACTCTCTTCTTCACCTCTTTACCCCATTCCCCATTTTCCTGGACAGTGGACCCCCAGTGCTTGAAGTCCAGCACCTTTATGTCCTCTGCTCCTTGTAGCCTCACTGTTCCACCACCTCCCTCTCATTTACACACATACTCTGTCTTACTACAGCTGACATTCATTCATCTTATTTCAAACGCATACCTCCACCTCTCTAAGTTCTTTTCCACCCATTCCCTTCTCTCACCACAGATCATAATGTCATCTGCAAACATCATAGTCCACAGGGATTCCTGCCTGACCTCATCTGTTAGGCAGTCCATCACCAGAACAAACAAGAAGGGGCTCATAGCTGATCCTGATGCAATCCCACCCCCTCCTTGAAGCCATTTGTCACTCCTATAGCACATCTCACCACTGTGCTGCTTGTCCTCATAAATGTCCTATACCAGTCCAACATGTCATGTTGTCATCATACATATTCCTGTACCAGTCTATCATGTCCTGCTGTCCTCATACATGTCCTGGACCAGTCTAGCATGTCCTGCTGTCCTTTAATATGTCCTGTACAATACTAACATATGTCTCTGCTATTCCAGATTTCCTCATGCACTACCAAACCTCTTTCCTCGGCACATTTTCATGCTTTTCAACATTTCCCCTACCATTATACAAGTGGGGCGCCCCGTCTACAGAACCGCCCCTCACCCACCCACCAGTTGGCACTGACATAATGCTAAGCAAGCGGCTCCCAAATTGTCATCTCTCATTTAAGTCTAGCTTCCACAACTCTCTCCCAGATCTTCATGTGACTCAACTTAATTCCCCTGTAGTTGCTACAACTCTGTACATCACCCTTGTTTTTAAAATGAGCACCAGAACAGTATACTTGTCCTCCATTCCTCAGGCATTGAAGGCTGCGCAGAAGACTGCTGGAGTCAGTCTCCCCACCATCACATACATCTACACCTCTAGATGCAGGAAGAGGGCCACTTGCATCATGAAGGACCCCACTCACCCAGTGCACACACATTTCCCCCCTCTCCCCTCAGGCAGGAGGTTGAGGAGCATTAAGTGTAGAACCACTAGACTGAGGAACAGCTTCTATCCTGAAACTGTTAAGACTCATGAATCTTTAATCAGGATCATCACTGTGAAAAAAAAATCACTGTAATGCCACTTGATTGTTGATATATGCTGCTGACTATCCATGTTGCTGATCTTATGCGGATTTATTTCATGCTGCTATGTTCGTTCGTACTCATCTGCTTACACAGACTCATGTTCGTGCTGCTGTTGTTCAGCATAATGTTTTTGTAGTATTAGTGCTTATTGTATTCTTAGTACAGATGCACCAATCCACTTTTTTTTTAACT